ATTGGTTAACTGAATTACTTAATACTTGAGTAGAATCAAATGGGATTTTAGTTACATCCCTTAGACCAGGGGTCCCCCAGTCTGTGGGCTGCGACCCTCCCAATTCTAGCATTCAAGGCCTCAGCTTCTATGGAAAAGCTGTTTTGGTTTTTTTTTAGAACTAACTTTGTTCTGTCTTTCTTCTCCACCGGACACCAAGCTAGGATTTCGCACGTCCCGCTGATATTGTTCCCGATTTTTATACAGAGTCCTGTCTTGATACCTGTTGGAGGAAACAAAATGGTGGAATGTATTTTTGTGCAACAATTACAATAGTATTCAGCCAGTAGATGGCAGTGTTTACAAGTTTGGATCTATGGGGGTAGGCAACCTTGGCTCTTTTATGACTCGTAGACTTCAACTCCCAGAATTCCTGAGCCAGCCATGCTGAGGGGAAAGGAAGAGGTTTCCAAGCTGAGCCATGCTGTCTCAGGAATTCTGGGAGTTGAAGTCCACGAGTCATGAAAGAGCCAAAGTTGCCTATCCCTGTAAATCTTTCGTCCTAAGTAGAGTCTTCAGTTTCCTGTTATAGTTAAAAGAGTTAAGCAGTAAAGCACATGGTGATGGTACACTTTGTTTGGTCTGTGGTGCTACATATATATAGGAAGGGGGATAATGGAAGGCATGTAGGTGGACATGTCAAAAAAAGACAAAATGGTGGTCACCACTGAACACAGTACATGCAACAAATGAATGGAGTTGCAATCACACCATTGCAAACTCCATTTGGACTTTTTTGACACCCCTCCCTTCATATGCCACTAGTCCTCAACTTACGCCAGTTGACCGTTGGAAGTTACAACAGCACTGGAAAAAAGTGACTTATAACCATTTTTTACACTTAAAACCATTGTGGCGTCCCCAGGGTCATATGATCAAAATTCAGAGGCTTGGCAACTGACTCGTACTTATGATAGTCGCAGTGTCCTGGGATCATGTGATCCCCTTTTGCAACCCTCTTGTAAGCAAAGTCGATGGGGAAGAAGCCAGATGTCACTAATTGAACAACTGCAGTGATTCACTTAGCAAAATTTGGCAAAAAAAGTCATAAAATGGAGCAAAAACTCAATAATAATAATAATAATAAAGTTGGAAGGGACCTTGGAGATCATCTAGTCCAATCCCCTGCTCAGGCAGGAAACCCTATACCATTTCAGACAAATGGCTGTCCAGCCTCTTCTTAAAAACTTCCAGTGTTGGAGCATTCACTGCTTCTGGAGGCAGGTGGTTCCACTGGTTAATTGTTCTCACTGTCAGGAAGTTTCTCCTTAGTTCTAGGTTGCTTCTCTCCTTGATCAGTTTCCATCCATTGCTTCTTGTCCTGCCTTCAGGCGCTTTGGAGAATAGCTTGACTCCCTCTTCTTTGTGGCAGCCCCTGAGATATTGGAAGACTGATATCATGTCCCCCCTCGTCCTTCTCTTCATTAAACTAGACATTCCCAATTCCTGCAACCGTTCCTTATATGTTTTAGCCTCCAGACCTCTAATCATCTTTGTTGCTTTTCTCTGTACTCTTTCTAGACTAGAGTCTCAACATCTTTTTTACATCGTGGTGACCAAATGTCTTAACGAATGTCTCACTTAGCAACATAAATTTTGGGCTCAATTGTGGCCATACTTTGAGGACTACCCCTATGTGATGGTGGATGCTATCATGAAAGCAGTAATTTATTTATTTATTGTTTGTTTGTTTATAATAATAATAATAATAATAATGATGATAAAGTTGGAAGGGACCTCAACATCTTTTTTACATCGTGGTGACCAAAACTGGATGCAGTATTCCAAGTGTGGCCTTATCAAGGCATTGTAAAGTGGTATTAATACTTCACGTGATCTTGATTCTATCCCTCTGTTAATGCAGCCTAGCACTGTGTTGGCCTTTTTGGCAGCTGCAGCACATGGCTGGCTCATATTTAAGGGATTTTCCACTAGGACTCCGAGATCCCTCTCGCAGTTGCTACTATTGAGCAAGGTACCCCCTATACTATACCTGTACATTTGGTTTTTCTTGCCTAAATGTAGAACCTTACTTTTTTCACCATTGAATTTCATTTTGTTATATAGCGCCCAGTGTTCAAGTCTGTCCAGATCCTCCTGTATCCTAAGCCTGTCTTCTGCAGTTTTGGCTATTCCTGCCAGCTTAGTGTTGTCTGCAAATTTGATGAGTTCCCCATCTATCCCCTCATCCAGATCGTTGATGAAGATGTTGAAGAGCACTGGGCCCAGAACAGAGCCCTGGGGCACCCCACTACACACTTCCCTCCATGTAGATGCGGTTCCATTGAGGACCACACGCTGAGTACGGCCGGTCAGCCAGCTACGGATCCATCTGGTGGTGATGC